CAAATGTTATTATTTATAATTTCAATTATTTTCATTGAAATCTATTGTCCTCATATGTTAAGTCTCTTTAACGCCATATTGTTTGTGTCTTTTAATTGTGTTTTAGTTTGCAATATGAACTTTGTAAATTTTTAGTTATTTTTACAAAATTCCAAGGCGTCCCTGGCCTTGAATGCACCAGATTTTTCCCTTCTGTACAGTGTCATAAAGTCGTTGTTTGAAGTGTTTTTCAATGTTTGTGTGGTACATCACTTAAATGAAAAAGCAAACTGGTGATTGCATAGTTCCCTGTATGCTTTACTTAGGTGTAGTAGAAGTTGGAGAAACAAAAAATTAACTCGTTCTGTAGAACTACGTAGTCTTATTTTATTGCATCCATGACTTCAGTGATACTGTGTGTGGCTCTGAGCTTTTGAAGAGTTAAAAATTAGTTACTTTTGTCTATATGCTGTCTACACTTTTTCACTTTCCCCTCACCAGCGACTTTTGACAGCGACGTCTCAGAAGACAGATCCGAGTCTGGTAGTGACGATGAATATACTGATGGGGAAGGTGAGCTGGAGGGACTGTGTGTACCAGCGCTGCGCTACCTGACCCAGGTGTGTGACATTCTGGCCTCTATGTGGCAGATGCCAGCCTGTCCAGTCTTCAAGGGAGCTCACAGGTGAGAAGGAAGCCGGATGTTCTACACAGCTTTGTCTATATTAGGAGAAAGTGTGGTTGTTTTAGACATGTAGATGCTTTACACAGGGTCATTATAATGTGAAAACGCCTCGGAGTGGAAATAGAAAGTGGCTGTTTGTACAGGTGCTTATCTTATACAGGTGGCCAATAGAGTGGGTTCTTTCAATTATGTGACGGCTGCATATGGCCTCACATTATAAAAAGATTAATACTTGAAAGAAAGACAAAACACTGCTGCTCTCTTGCATACCTGCCGCTGAACTGGTTTATTTAGTTTAGTTTACACTGAAATCTTGTGTGTATTCAAAAAAGACAATGTGTGACGTATCAAGAAGGGGAAATAATTGTGATATTAAAGAATCGTTCTTTCAACATTCGCAACATAGTTCATTCCTTTTTTTACATTTCATACATCAGACACAAACATTACAAATTACATGTGCAGTATATACTGTAGCGTTTACTTTCTACCTTCTTTTTTGTCCACATGCTTTTCTCTAACTACTGGGGAAAGTGTGACATTCATCCAAAATAGGTTGCTCTTGTCTGGGTTGCTGATAAGTGAACACCGCTGTACTCATTTTTATTGCAATAGCAATATTTGCTATCAGGCTTATAAATGTACCGATATTGTAATGGCCGTTTATTGTTAGACGATTGTTTTGTCAAGCTATACCAATACTCTAGTGAAAATGTTTGTTATTTTCAGGATTCAAGTTGACACAGCTGCACGTCTTGTGAGTCCTGAAATTTCCAACATGAACTTCAAGCTTTTTGCGGAAGAGTTTGCTCTGGACAAGCACAAGCCTCAGAGCGAGCCGGAAGCCGGCGACGTGAAGAATGTACCGTCTGGCAAACTGGAGGGTGCAACAAATATAGCAGCGGGCCTGGACCAGAGCGGCGATAGGTCTACCTCACTTCCTGCGTCCAGTCCTCCACAAAACAAAGTTGTAGTGTCAGAAACTGTGGAGAAAGAGACAGCTGAGCCTGCTGAGGACTCTGACCGACCTGAATGTGTGTTGGAGCATTCTGAAGATTGTCAATCTCAAGACGTCAAAACAAGTGATTCCGAGGTTTCTGATGCTGACGTTGAGGTGAAAGCTGCAGCTGATCAAGAACAAATTAGGCCTATGCCAGTAGACTCGGGTGAGGCAAATGATATATCTAGTAGTTCGAAAACTTGCCCTGTCATATCATCTGATAGTGAAACAGAGCCAGTAACAGATGCCAAAATGAAAGTTCAACGACCTTCCACACTGTGTGACCCAGACAGTGGCTGTGGCCCAGGGTTGTCTGCCCCCACAGGGCCCAGCTCAAACCCCACCCTCAATTCTCATCTCTCAGAGGAGGTGGCATCTGGTGACTGCCAGGAAGTTTGTGGCATGTACCGGTCACTAGATGAGATGGACGGCTCATCTGGAGTACTGCATGTCTGGTTTTTACTTCTGGATGGTTTGGTGTCTGCCATAAACCACTGCCCCAAAGCATTTCAGTCGCACACTCTCAACACTCTAATAGATCTCCTGAGGTCGTCTTCCAAAGTACCAGGTAAGTGACAACCTGCCTTGACAAAAGTCGCAATTGTATATATATATATATATGATGTCAGATCTGTTTTGTGTTGAGAATACCTATTTAAAAACTGGTGTGTGCGCACGTCCAAAAAAATTAAAAA